TCTCTCTCTCTCTCTCTCTCTCCTCCTCCTCTCTCTCTCTCTCTCTCTCTCTCTCTCTCTCTCTCTCTCTCTCTCTCTCTCTTTGTCTCTATCTCTATCTCTCTCTCGCTCTTTTTTTCTCTCGCTTTCTCTCTCGCGCTTTCTCTCGTTCTTTTGCTCTCTCTCTCTCTCTCTCTCTCTCACTATGGCTGCGATCACGGCTTACACGATACCTACGGCATTTCGGAAAGTCGGTCCATCTGCTGCCGTTGTCACAGGCGCACCTCACCGACGTTTCGTTGCCAAGCAACGTCGCGCCGACGCCGCACGAGAAGTCGATGACGACGTTGCATGCGCATGTGCCGTAGGGACACTTCTCCTCGATGAGCGCGCTGGTGTGCCAGTAAGTGAGAAGCTTGCCGTGATTAACGTGATGCTTCAGGGTATCGAGGGCTGCCTCCAACTCGGCTCGCTTGCATCCACCTATACACACGCGCGTCCGGTGATTGTACATAAATAAATAAAGAGAGAGAGAGAGAGAGAAAGAGCGCGACAGATAGAGAGAGAGGGAGAAGAGAGGAGAAATTTACGGAGGGCAAGAGCAAGAGAGATAGAGACAGAGCGAGAGAGACAGATAGAGAGCGAGAGAGAGAGAGAGAGAGAGAGAGAGAGAGAGAGAGAGCGAGCGACAGAGAGAGAGGGGGGAGAGAGGGAAAATCTACGGAGGGCAAGAGAAAGAGAGAGAGAGACAGAGCGAGAGAGACAGATATAGAGCGAGAGAGGGAGAGAGAGGGAGAGAGAGTGGAGAAAAAGAGAAAGAGAGAAGGGAAATTTACGGAGGGCGAGTCAAGAGAGAGAGAGAGAGAGAGAGAGAGAGGGCGGAAAAAGAAAAAGAGAAGAAGCTAGGGAAGGAAAGGGGAAGGGAAAGAGAGCGAGAGAGGAAGAAGGAGAGAAAGAGGTAGAAACGAATAGGAGAGAGAAGAAGAAGACGAACAGGGAACGAGAGGTGGGTGTAGAGAAATAGCGAGAGAGAACGCGAGAGACATGGAAAAGAGATATAGAAAGGGTTAGATACATATAGTGAGTGAGTAGGAGAGCGAGAGAAGGAAAGATGAGAGAGAGAGAGAGAGAAAAAGAAAGAGAAAGAGAAAGAGAAAGAGAAAGAGAAAGAGAAGGAGAAAGAGAAAGAAAAAAGAGAAGGAAACGGAGGGGTGCGATGAAACGAGAAGGGGCGAGGAGAGGAACAGTGAGAAGTGGGGTACGAACAGTACGTCTTACTGATCTAATCAAGTCTTAATTTTTTAAATACAATTTCTATATAATTACCTGTCAGCAGTCGCCATCTACGTTACCTAGACCTTGGTTCAGCATTACAGACACCTATCACCCTGGCAGTATTCATATATACTAAATGCATTAATATTGTTAGGCAACCGTATATCAATTAAAATACGGCCATTATTGTATATTGCACTATACACCTTTTTATATGACCAATTGCAGTAATTTTGCTGGTTGTTTTCATACGAAATGTCACTGAAATATTCGGACCTTCGTGTAATGCGCGTAATATACGTTTGAAATTATTTCGTATCAACGAAGCTTATTATATATGGCGTAAAATGTTATTCTCATTTCTGAGTGCACGCGGTCTATATGTAAACAGGTCGTGAGATTTTCACGTCGAAGGGATGGTATTTCTCTGGCACAACCAGGCTCGTTACGACGCAGTAAGGGCGACCATAATAGCAGAATAACAGCAAATTAAAGCACATAAACTCTCACGCTCGTGCCCCTGATCGTAGTATATAGAATTATAGAATTGCATTGAATTATTGAATTATTGAATTATAGAATGTTGCAATTATAGAATAACAGCAGGAGCACATAAACCCTCACGCTCGTGCCCCTGATAGTAGTATATAGAATTATAGAAGTGCATTGAATTATTAAATTATTGAATTATAGAATGTTGCAATTATAGAATAATAGCAGGAGCACATAAACCCTCACGCGCGTGCCCCTGATAGTAGTATATAGAATTATAGAATTGCATTGAATTATTGAATTATATAATCTTGCGATTGTAGCATAATAGCAAGAGAACATAAACCCTCACACGCGTGCTCCTGCTACCATGCTCGTACCATCACGTGTACCATGTCATATGTACATATGTCATATGTCATATGTATATGTCATCATGTCATCTGTACCATGGTCGTACCATCATGTGCATCATGTCATATGTACATATGTCATATGTCATATGTATATGTCATCATGTCATCTGTACCATGGTCGTACCATCATGTGCATCATGTCATATGTACATATGTCATATGTCATATGTATATGTCATCATGTCATCTGTACCATGGTCGTACCATCATGTGCATCATGTCATATGTACATATGTCATATGTCATATCTATATGTCATTATGTCATCATGTCATATGTACCATGGTCGTAACATCAGTGACACTGCTCGCGTGTCTCTATACTGCGGGACTTACCGAAAAGAGCCACGGAGCCGGTTAGCAATACGAATAACAGCAAGCAGGCAGCAGTTTCAAAATGTCTCATAGTTGTCGTCAAGGTTGTGGGGGATATTCCTGTCTGTGCCTGATAGCGCTTACTTACGTATACAGCAGCTCTGGCACGAGATACACATATACAGCACAGGAAGCAGATCGACTCTGGACGGCGGATATACGATGTGGACTAGCTAGTGGGCGCGTTTAACAAGCATCCGATTTATTTTTAATTTTGAAATCCGGCAACATGTTTGTTCGATGTTTACCAAAGACCTTCCATCGCCAGTATTTGTTGTCGCTTGCGTTTAATTGCTTTGCTCCATGGGATGACATAATGAATAATTATATATTATAAGGAAGGAGAGTGGCAAACATGCATCTATGGCATCCATAGTAAACGAAGTAGCGTCAATAATAAAAGTCATTTAAATTTTACATGTTTTTACCAAACTATTTTGCGTGATAAACTACAATATATTTCGACTCGGTGCACCCTATATTCAGTTACAAGTAGACTTACAATGCTATCCCACTATTCTACGAGAAATCCCTATACGATCAAGAAATGATATTGATAGTACAAGCGCAATTATTCACATCAATGCTAATATACGTGCTCTGATCATAAGACATTGTCATCGGGCATCGCTTCGATCGCAATCATCTTCAACGCATATTGAAACCAACGTGCATAATTGTGCATGTTAACGTGCATAGACGCGTAGGCTTGTTCGATGCTTGTCGACAGGCCCCGATAGAGAGCGCTGTTGATGCCTTTATGCTTTATTTAGAATCGGGTGCGATTCAATCATGCTGACTTTTCCCGATAGATGCCAGCACTGACTCACCACGTGTTGTTCATGTCAACACATGGAGAGATATATAGGGACTCTTAACACCTAAATTGGAAAATTGAGGGCAAAAAGATGGCTTGACGATGAAAACATGGGGCAAAAAGATGGCTCTACAGTGTAAATATGGGGCAAAAAGGTGGCTCTACAGTGTAAATATGGGGCAATAAGATGGCACTATGTTGAAAATATGAGGCAAAAGGAGTGCTCTGTGTGAAAAACATGGGGAAAGAGAGCAACAAGATGGCAAGGGAAAGATTGGGGGCAAAAAGATGGCTAGGAAAAAATTTGGAGGGCAAAAAGATAGCAGGGAAAACGAAAAATGGGGGCCAATAATGCGGCGCATATATATATATATATATACGTCCCTATGCGGAGTATCACCCCCCCGGGAGGGGGGGTTAGGCAAGAGATCATATTTGACTAACGTTACGTCTCTATGCAGAACTCTCTTCTAACGCGACTAATTCCTTCTTCACTATTCACCGCCCAGACCAAGCTGTGTGGAACATGTGCGGATGGCTTGCGGGAACTCAGCATGATAACACAAACACAAACACAAACACAAACACAAACACAAATACAAACACTGCAAGAACATCAGAACACAGCAACACAAATAGCAAACACAAGAACACAGAACACCCATAGGGAACCAAACACAGAACACCAAACAAACACGAAACCCAAACATAACACAAAGGTGAGGGACCGGGGCAACAAACAGCTAAACAGCCCATTTCATTATTAATCACAGGCGTATTTGGTTCAGGCACGGATGGCTTGCTTGCTAGGAGGACGGTCACGTTAGGATATCACGAGGCGATCCAAAGATAACGTACTATGAAATTATTAATTTACTAACGGTACAGTTATGTGCGCTGGTATTCGGTGCTCAGCTCGCGGCGTGGCCTTTCGACACAATACGTGCAATACAGTTAATACAGATCAGTATCTTCCTTCATCCACGACAGCAGGAGATGCGATAGGTGTAAACATTCGCACTGTGAAAGCAGCAGCTGCTGTAGTGTGTGTGTGTGTTTGTGTGTGTGTGTGTGTGTGTGTGTGTGTGTGTGTGGCGTGTAGTTAGGTGATGTGTGTGTGTGTGGTGTGAGGCG